AGCTTTTTATAGCGTTGCAAGGTCGGCATGGAGATGTCCGTAAGCTTGGCGACTTCCGTTAGGGTATACAGTTTTTCTTCATCAGCCATTTGAGTCTCCTAAAGTATCTGATCTGAATTGGGCACCGATCTGGATCAGGGGATCGATTCAAGGAATAAGGTTTGGGTCCAGGAGCTTTTCTTTAAGCATTTAACGGGTTTTGCAGTGAAACATCAACCCTAGCATTTTTAGATAGGAATAGGGCAATGTCAAGCTTTTTGTAAATGGGGAGAAGGGGAATTCGGGCTGGATCAAGTCGTTTTGAAAAAAACCCCTTTGCGCCGACCTAAGTCCCTTTTATGCAAGGGTCTTGAAGGAGCTCGGGGAAGTATTGGGGAGCTTTAACTCGATGGAGAAATAGTGTTGAGCCGAATTGCTGGAATATCGCTCCATTGGGTCGAATTTGCCGACTACCGAGTAGGGGTATTCACAGTAAACCTAGCTTTCGAGCTAGGTAAGAAAGGGCTTGGCGGGTCATTCCCAGATCCCTCGCCGCTGCTGATTGGTTCTTGCCGTGACGGTCTAAAGCTTTTGATACCAGTTCTTTGCGATAGTCTTCTACGAGCTGGTGATAATCCTTGTTGGGGCCTTGAGCCGCGGAATCCGGCTCGGAAGAGCTGGGTTTTTCGATCGGAATGCCCGCATCGGCTAAGTGCTCGGTTCGGATAACCTCAAAATCACTGTAGGTGGCTGCCACCCTGACGACACTTTCCAACTCACGAATATTTCCGGGCCAAGGATAGGAGCTGATGGCCTTCCTAGCTTCGGGATCGATGCGGGTCCCCCTCTCGCGCAGGGCAAAGAAATCGGCCAGCAATACGAGGTCCGAGTCCCGTTCCCGCAGGGCGGGCAATGTGACTTTTGCCACCCGAAGGCGGAAATAGAGATCCTCGCGAAAGCTCCCTTCCTCTACCATTTTTTCAAGGTCGCGATGGGTGGCGGCAACAATTCGCACATCCACTTTTCGGGCCAACGTATCACCGACCCTTCGGATCTCGCCTTCTTGCAGCACTCGCAGCAGGTTTCCCTGCACCGCGAGCGGCAAGTCGCCGATTTCATCGAGGAAAACGGTGCCTCCCCTCGCTCCTTCAAAAATACCCGGTCGGTTTTGGTCGGCACCGGTGAAGGCTCCTCGGACATGTCCGAAGAGGGTGGATTGGATTAAGGACTCCGAGATCGCGGCGCAATTCAACGGCGAGAATGGGCCGCCGTTTCGCAGGCTACGCCGGTGGGC